TGTACGTTTTTGTGTGGGAATATGGTGCCACCTATGACCAGTTTATTGAAGGCACATAGGTTTGCAAATTTCTCACTGTTTTCGTTCATTTCTCCCAGTCCATGTTGTCCCATGACTTTTTCGTATCCAGTGTTGTCCTTTCCAACCTTGGCATTGAAATCTCCCATCAGAATGGTCAGGTCCTTGGTTGGGCACTTCTCGAAAATTGACTGCAGCCTATCGTAGAATTCGTTTTTAGCGTCTTCATCGTAGTCATTGGTAGGCGCATAGCATTGGATGATGTTCATTGTAATGCCCTCTCTCTTTGTTTTGAAGGAGGCTTTGATGATCCTCGGTTCATGAGATTCCCATCCTATAAGTGCATTTTGTGCTTTTCTAGACAGCATCAGTGCCACTCTTTGTGTATATGGGGCATTTTCTTCTTCATGACCGGAGTATAACAGAAGTTCCCCTGAAGATAGTCGTTGTTGTCCAACCTACGTCCAATGTGTTTTACTGATTCCAAGCACTTCCAAGTTGTATTTCCTCATTTCCGCATTAATTTGGAAGACTTTTTCGATCTCCCACATTGTCCGGACATTCCATGTACCTATAAAACTTGTCGCTGTGGTTGTAAGAAGGTGCATCGGCCTCATGACTTCCGAAGGAACTCGGCTTTCATCATGAGACGTCATTATTCCTTCTACTCCCAGGGCAGAGTTTGAGTGGTTTGAATGATTTTTTCTGGTTAGCGGTTTTTTAGCGAGTTGATTTTCTACGGGATGGGGTCGCTAACCTCATGCGCAACCCTCCTCCTTTACCCGGGCTTGGGACCGGCAGTAGCCACTGGAGGAGCTACAGGCGGAGTTTGGAAACTTATACTCGTAGTTTAAAATCATCAGCTAAAGGCAGTAAATTGGATTGTACTTGCCGCGGAAGACCACTCTTGTCGATCGAAAATGACGGGGTCATTGTACGGAACCATAAGGAACCCCAATAGAATATTTTGTAGCCTGATGAAATATAATGTATACTCTGTCCATAAAAAGTCGATCATTGAGAAATAAAGCTATTTAGTTCATAAATGGTAATATAATACTTAAACGTTTGTGCTGGATGTAGACGATTCAACATATATACAAAATATCTGGGACTTCTATAATTTCATCAGTGGATATTCATGTTTGACGGTTATATAGTTAGGAGAAACATGTCAATATACTCTTTCTTAAACATGGTCTCTTGGACCTTGGCATCCAATGACTGCGTAAATTTTCATCATCGGATTCAGTTATGTTCGGGATTTCTGAATAACGTAACCCACTGGGAGATATGGTTGATATTAACTCCGTTTAATATCCAGATACAAGAGGGGACATATTTTCAAAAGTCCCTTATTTTCGTGTAACTACAAAGATTTGTGACAAAAGATTCTATGCCCGGAGTACCTAGTATGCTGTGTACTATTATTAGGTTACCTCTTGTTCTCCTGTTACCAAACGAGTGCAATGTCAGGTGATAGAGTCAACCCTTATAATGATTTTTGATTGATTCTAAGACTACTGTCGTCTCGCACTTCTGTACTGCTTCTGAGAGATTCACTTCTCTGTCAACGAATGAGGACGAAACGTTGTTGGGGTTTTCGAGATATGAGCGGATGTAGTCTATAATAGTGGTGTGACAAAATCATTATTCACCATGCCCATCTTTTTTCAAGCAAAGTGAGGAGGTGAATAGGATCTAGCTGGATTTCCATGATATCCTTTCACTGCATTTTGGATTTGTGTTATCAACAGCTTTGTACCACATGTCGACAAAATTTCAGAAGCGGCGACGATTGAGGAAGTGGGCCTCGTGCACCTCTGTAACCCGAAATTGTATCGCCTGACACTTCTTTACATTGAATGTCCATCATTTTTGTCTCAACTGCTCTCTTTATAGTATGTCCCATCGGGACTCTTATGAATCCGCCCATTGACTTATAACCTTCAACAGTTTTATATTATCCGTCTAGGTAAGGACACTCCTCCTGTAGCACCTTTAGGGTTACTGTCGGTCTCAAGCCTGGATAAAGGATAGGGGTTAGGTATGGGGTCAGCAACCTCATTTTGTAGAAAACAATCTTGCCAAAGCAAAGCCTATCACAATTAACAATTTAAACCCTGTCCTCCGAGTTGAAGGAGGAATTATGGCACCTTATGGCGAAATCCTAAGTTCTTCCAAAATCAGACCAGAACAACAATTGATACAAGTACATAGAATGTCCGGACAATATCGGAGATCGGGAGGATAGGTCAAATGACTAAGGAAATGGGGAGATACAACTTGATGGTTCTCGGAATAAGTGACATCCATCAAACCCTAGTTAGACGGAAAAGATTAATTTTCGGAAGGATTCTGTTGCTTTACACACACAAAAAATTGCTGCTCAACAAAGAAATAAAAGCTCCATCACTAAGAATAGATATCAATCGAAGACACGTGAAGGATTCAAAAAAATAGGAGAAAGTAAACTGCAATTGAAAACAGGTGAGCAAGAACAGAGAAAATCAGGACACAGACCGAATACACATAAGCAAATGAAAAAGTGAAGAGATAGATCTGAAAAGCAGGAACACGTAGCAGGTCCGATAATTTCGGCTGAAAACGCTTCAGAAATGGAAATATGTCACATATGGAAATATCTAAGTATTACATTGAAGAAATTGGCAAAAAAATTATAAAAACCCAAGCAAACATTCAAGAACAAAGAGAGCAACCCGATGATTGAGATTCAAGAACAGAAGAAAACATAGGTTAAACTCTTGAGTTGTTCATCTCTGATGAATCCACTGGTCGTCGAAGCAACGCACAAACACATCTCACTGTAGAAGGCATTCTACCAACGAGCGAAGAAATCAAGATGGCCTTCAGACAAATCAGGAATGGGGAAGCAGTAGGGCCTGACAACATATCACACTGTATTCAGGAAGATTTGTGCGAACAATTGTTGTCAGACTGGAAAGAAGAACACCCCATCAACTTACCAAAGAAAAGAGATCTGAGCATATGTGAAGAATACAAAAGCGCCACACTACTATCGGCACCTGGAAACGTTTTTATCAGTTTCGCTAAGCCGGAAGAAAGACCAATAAGACTCTGAACTTCGAAATTGTCTAGCAGGATTCTATAATGGACCTAATAAATGTCTAAGTAGTCAAGCCTCAACTTTTTCATCTTAAATCAGCCGACTTCGTCGATAATAACCATATACTGTTTTGCTTCACGCTATTTCTTTTCCCATCTCTTTTTTAGCACGCTCCGATAAACTACCAAAAAACGTTTGTGGAACATATAACTTCATCCTAAGCTTTCAATAATACCTCTGACGATTTGAATGTGCTTAATGTGAGCCTGTTAAATGTGCTGTCTGTGTACACTACCAGGAAGCACGAAGTGATGCGCTATTGTCACCTTTCTCAATTGACCGATTTCGGATTAAACGCATTATTTGTTGTTATAAAGGGCTCTGAACTTTATCGGCATTCATTTTCGACCACCACTTGCTTATTGCAAAAAAACTTCAGTAAAGTGATTCGGCTATCGCATTGAGCGTACGCGTTTCTCCGACATAATTCATATTGTAGCGGTAAATAAACACCTAAGAATCAATAACTCTGTAAGTGTTCCACATTGGATGTTGACCGCATTAGTTTTAATGAACTCACCTAGCTGAAGGCGCTCGGTCATGCATGCGCACCAGATAACGAGTCGCAACACCGTGTTCAAATGCTTCATATATTGATTAGCTGTCAGATATGTCTTCTAACCTCCCGGCTTTTGACTTTTGATTTTACTGGGTGGGCGCAACACAATTAAAGAAGGTGTTACTGGCAAAGTGTCATTAAACTACAGTACCTGTGGTATACTAATGTAAGAAGATTTATCTCCATGTTTCCGTCTTCAGAATGTCTCACAAAATATCAAACTAGCTTAGTAACGAAGTACGATGTGAGAGTATTTCGAAAGGGGAAAGTAACTCTCTCCACCCTTAACCTTACCAAGGCATTTGGAGGCGTTCTCTCGCCTAGCCCGTCCAGTTGAGTCCAAAACATTAGGAACAGTTTTCACTATGCGAATCATTTATTTCAAACATACTTGACACATATGCCAGCCAAACAGTCCGCATCTAACCAGAGGGTAGGCAATAACATCTATACAAAATAAAGCCAAAATCTGGTTGTGAGTGTGAGAGACAGTTAATAATAAACTGAGCATAATTTAAGGACAGTAAATCGTTTAATAACAAATTACAGGTCAAAATGAAGCTTATGATAAGAGGAATATAAATATACATAATTGAACTACTGAATAGTTATACCATAAGAATATATGGATCATGTTAGTCCATTCATAGGTTTCAGAAGTTACTCGTAATTTAATCTTCACTAGGGTATAAGAACTTTCTTGACTGTGAGCAGGCGTTTAAGAACATAGACAGAAATCCTACGTAGACACTATGGTGTACATGAGAAGATAGTCACAAGCACGCACACCGTAAAGAATTTATCTTCACAAACTCTGGTTTACAGAAAGTCTGTCTATCAATTAATATGCAACCATTGCCTACATTTCAACCAGGATACTCGACTAATTTCCAGTGAGCGGAAAGTTCATTCCAACCGGTCTAACAAAATTCCCCGTGTCAGAGCCAGATCACATTATTGAGGGTACCACTAACACATATGAACTATCATTCAAGAAATCTTTTTACACGCAGAATGCTGATATCCTTATGGATTTCTGATCGACCCAGCTAGCATTAATTTGTTGTATATCAATGTATTCAAGAAAGACATGATCAAAAGGCAACACATGGTCAGGAAAACTAGATTGTGGTGTTAACAGGAAACGATAAATGAATATGCTGCATTTGAAGCTGTTACTTATTCTGTTTGCCAGTAGGCATATTTAAGTCGAGAATCTATTCCTCGAAGCTGGACACGTTGTTTGAAATAATATTTGTATCGTAGCGACTGTAGCGGCTATTCAACATTGTTGTAAGTTCGGCACTTAAAGTCTGAAACTATTGCAACGAAAATTTCAAAACAAACCTTAAGCAAAAATTTCGTTTGCATGGCGTCAATGATAGGAAAATAATATTCACCAAGACATATACAGTTTTGTATATGTGTAATGTACGTACTGGAATAGTTTTATTAGTATCTTTGCAGTCATATTAAATACATCAAGAAAAAGGTTAAATACATGTCTCGCACCTTCAAACGGATTACACGCATACAGTTTACTGGGGAACAGTAATTCGACCTTATTAAGTGAAATAATTACAAAATGCACTGTTTGCCAAAAATATGTTCAGAGGATGCTATTGTAGTAATGAAATAATCAAATATTAGATAGTTATATTGAATACAAAACAAACTGCAAATAGTATGCAAGGCAATTATTGGGCAACACAAACATATATATATATATACTCTTAGAAATAAAAATCTAACTGACCTGTAATTTGTTCTTCCGCTTATCAAAATTTTTAAGACAAAAAAAGTAAACATTATGGTCCCTTAAATCATATTTGGATACATATTCTGAAAAAATTATGAGTTTGTACACATGTTTGCTTCCTTTTTTTCCAAAGCTTCAGGCTATCCATCTCTTTAACTAACCGATCGAACATTAATGAATTTTTAAAAACTCATAACGAGCTTTTCTTTGGGACTCTGTCTATGATGTCAACGTACGATTGTAAATATGACAATGTAACATCTCAAGTCAAGTGTCTTATGACGGAACCAGAGGAACAGATTTGAAAAAACAGAACAAATGTCCAACCAACTGAGTCTGTGTATACCTATTATCAAATTTGTCCGAGTCCTTTAACTGACTCTTGATGCCGCATATAGTAGCAGGCTAGATTTTTTTAATTTTTGATAATCACTAAGCCTGATCAGTTGCTCACGTTCAATATAATTTGGCATTGATAAATCTAATAAGCCATGTCATGGTTTTGAATCTTTTTTTCATAAACTTTGATTTCATTAAAACAAATCAAACTTTGTTCCAAACTTATTTTTGGCCGTGGACTCTCACCATAGGTTTTTCTAGGTAAACTGTCGGCCTATCATATTTTAAATGGCAACCGTAACAAAACCGGATACGAAAAGAACTTATCTTAATTGGTTTGAAAATCTTAACTCTGAAAGAAAAGAGGCTGAAGGTTATCAAAATATATCATATGATCATCGTCAATCGGTTAGAGCTGCACGCATCGAAACAGATTTAAATACAAAGTAAGTTAAAATTAATGTGTCTAACCTAGCAATAAATCTTAAAACAAATAGAAAGTAACATTAGAGTGGCATTGGTAAATCCATCTATATTCTTTCCATGGGGTCCTCTTTTTTTATTATTTTGTTACACTGATAAGATCACATTTCTGTGGCTCAGGGATAAGTTATTTATTGTCTGAGATTTACTCCTTATTCCACCCTGAAAGTCTTATAGACAGGTTTGGCGAATTGTATGTGAGAAAGTATTTGTGATGATTATTTTCTGTCGAATTTTACATACCATAACTGTTAAGTTATACCAAGAAGTTAATCGAAAGATTTTCACCTTCACTCAGCTTATACCATCAGGCTCAGTAAAATATGTAATAGGTTGAGCCTTTTCAACCGGTAGGCTATAAACAAAGGGGAATTGGGGAGAGATAAGCATTAATCTATATTACCGCACTTTACACTAGCACAATCATATGAAACTATCGATTAATCCAGCATAGTCGTGGTAATAAAGTAATAACATTAAAACGCACAGGAATAAGCTTGAAAAAATAACATCCTAGCATAAAAAGTATGACGAAATTTTAAAACTCGATGTTTAAAGAAAAATGATGAGCAACCTATAGTGCGTTATTACAATGGATTTTTTGACGTCATTTAAAAGTCGTGAATATGAGCTACAGTTGTTGTTCTAGAAGTCTAAAACCTTTGAAACAACCCAGACAAAGTGTTAATATCGTTATCACTGTCAACATTTCAACATACTCATATACCAATCATTGCAACTTATAGATGTTGGAGGTGAGTGGTCATGATTCAGAGATTCACAATCTATGTTACTGAATAAAGTTTCACAGCTTCAACTTGCTTATGAAATCTATCCGATACCGTAAGCCTTAACTCAGGAATACTCGCTCATTGGTTGAGTTTGATGGGATCGATGCTTAAAATAACATTTGTATTGGAATAATAACAACGTAATTTTACTTTTACCTTAATGGCCTGCATCTGATAGTCATAGTGTAGTAAGAATGTTATGAATAATGGTTAACAGTTTTTTTAAAGAACAGGTTTTGTAAACAAAAACAGTGGACCTAAAATACCACTTGTTTTCTTTCTATCCTCAGTAAATGGTCAACGTGAAATACAGTATGGGACTGAAACTGTTTGTATTCAGCAGCGAAATCTATAAGTTGTAAATTAATAACTACTAAAAAGGCTTGAATTACTAAAGTTTTAATGTAAAGCTGTGAACAACAGAGGAAAATAAATTTCACTGATAGTAATAAATGACGGCCATGCAGTATATGAATTAGGCGGAGGTTTTTTCTATAAGCTGAATTCTTTGATCGTGGAGCTTTTACTGTTTTTCTTAACGTTTTACTTCTAGCTGAAGCATATGCTGATGATGCTTAACAAAAAAATAATAAAAGCTCCACGATAAAAAAACCAGCGCAAAGAACAAAACTCCATCTAAATCATCCACCTGAGCTATATATACTCCCCGCTATCTCAAAAAATGTTGATTGACTAAATTTAAAAATACGGGCCATATAATTCCTACCCAACCATTAAAAAAATGCCACGATTGCTGTCAACCATAAACATTTGAAAGGTATATGGAAGAGTTTTGAATGAATATGAAATAAATATTCTTCGTTTTCCGGTTAATAAGAGTACTTGAGTTGATGTTGGTGGTTGTTGAAAAATGACTACGGATTGGTCATTGTTTATGGTTTTTCATACTCATCATTGTTAATTCAATTACCAATTTGTTTTAAAGTATCATACACTAAATCAGTGATAATTTGTAACTTATTTCCTCAAAAAAGGAACTTCTTGTAAACTCTTAAGGTGTGTAGAAATGTTGGTCAAGTTACCTAACCCGTCAGAGTTCAACTAAATGAATAATTGGTAAGACTCATGTTCATATATTTGTTTTCAGCATCCGTTGGTTTAGAGTCGCGAATTCAGACGTTTAGGAATATAAGGATTGGGCACTCACAAGAGAAATTCTATGGTCATGGGTTTTATCATATACACAAAATTTCGATGAACCTTATACCCATGGCGAAAGCCTGAGCTAGTGCCCCTTGGTATTCAACGGTTGTCTAACTAAGATCAGTCTGTGGTGCAAACCATGAAATTTGAAAGTCTTCACCAACCACATTTATAGTGATCACTATTCAATCTATTTTTATTCTCTTGTCATATCATCTTTGCTTTGTTTAAATAGATATGATCAAATTCAGACAAATAATCATTTATCTGATCGTATACGGATTTTACATCAATGGCGTGATAAATTAATTGTTCAATTAAATAAACTTAAACAAAAAGAGAATCAATTAAAAGATGTTAAACATAAAACAGAAGAGTTTCTTATTCAATTAAATGATTCATTTGATGTCAATATTGAATCTTTAACACATTTAGATCATAGACAAAATGATGAAAATGTTATGGATCCTGTTTTTACAGAATTAAACAAGGTAACCTTTACTTAGTATTACTTGTTTGAATCTTTCCACTGATGCTTAGGACTGCAACTGGTCAGTCTCTTATTGGCATAAATGCATACTGTGCGTATTGTCTCCATATAGCCTTATTTCACAAACATTGTAAACAAAGATGGATAGTGGCTAGCAATGGAATCCAGTTTGACGTGCATTTCGTCCTATTTGGGACTCGTCAGCTGGATACACCTGAGTTGATAACGCGATGGCGTTTGAAGCGGAAGGTACTGGGTTCGAGTCCCAGAGTGAACATTAACTCTGAGATGCAGGTACATCCAGCTGACGAGTCTCAAATAGAACGAAACGGGCGTCCTAGATTCCACTGCTAGCCACTATTCATCTTTGCTAACAAGGTAACCTTTGTTGTGTGAAATAGTTATAGATTTGATGATATAAAATATTAAAGTAATTAATTTAATCAAACTTTAAGTTTGTTCACAAGACTAATTCTCAAATCTAGAAAGTGAATAGATCCAGATACCAGGATTATTAACCAACTGAATAAACCTATCATTAAGGAATTAAGATTATCAATCATACGGAAAAGATGATTCTTGATTGAGATATCAAGTTATGTGGATTAAAATCCCATAAATAGGGTTAGTTATCACGTGATTTTGAACACCTTATAATGACAAACATTCAATAATACAAAATGTAGGCTCATCTATTTTTGAATATACCCTTGAACCATCGAACAACAAACAAACTGCAATAAAATATTAAGTTACTTAAAGTAATAAATAAGTAATATAGAAGATATTAGGTATAATTCTTTATAATGACAATTATTAAGTTCAGAAGGGGTTTTGTGGATATTTCAATATTTTCATAGTTGAAATCATCAGTCAATTGAAGCTAGACCACCATGGAAAACCTGGTAGCACTGGATGGCCGTTTCGTCCTATTATAGGACTCCTCAGCAGTGCGCATCCACGATCCCGGACTCGCACGATTCGAACCCACGACCTACCAGTCTCGCGCCAGAGCACCTAACTGATAGATCAATGCGCCGGCATCCAACCGTGGTAATGTCTAACTTCCACTGATCCACGAAGTTGAGCAACCGTTCACCAATTGTCTTCAGTGAGTTGATATCTCTACAACAGACTTGGTTGAACTCCACTGGTCACTGCTTCTCACTAGAAGTTGATTTGTAAAATCAGCAGTTTAGTTAATGGTTAATTACATACTGAGCAATTGTCATTAATCGAAAATTAGTTATTTAGAAAATGTAGACACTAGTGATTAATATTAAAGAAACAGGCTGTCATAGCGATGTCTGCACATATACATAATGTGGAATACACCGAGAAAGTGCTAAAAGACAATATATATGTATATAGGTGACATGAAGAAAGTTAATTATCAGATTTATATTAATTAGTCGAAGATTAATAAATAATTTCATGACTTCTGGTTCTAGGTACTGAACGAATTATAAGAATTTAATGGCAATGTAACCACGAGTATAAGTCATGGAATATCTTAGACTCCTTTGCCCCTAGGTAGTTCAAGACAATCGTCAGAATATCTTAGATATATACGTTTCTCAATAATTAATATTCATCTGTAGAGGAGTGGGTAATATTACCCCTTGGAATGGAATCCAAGCCACCCAAATTTATAGAACTTAAATTTGTCCAACTAACATCTAACGTCTGTTACTAATATTCATATCATTACGAATAAGACTAAAATGTAAAGAAGAAGAAGAATAACTATAGTGGATGAACATGCTTCAATAATGCCCTCATATTTAAATAATCAATCATTATGATCGTAAAATCCAATGTCACAATAGAATCAATAATTCTGTTTGATTACGCAATGTATATTAACTGATAGAACGAATTCATATTCCACCACGTATAATTTGTGTTTATAAAAAATTGTCGACACAAGATACTCAATGTCAATTGGATGGATACCATCAGTCTCAGCCTACTGTGGGAGAGAACAAATCAGTTTCCATAACAAAACGACATTAGGAAAAGATAATAGAGGTGGATATAACATACATTACGGAAATTTTCAAACTGCATTACGAAGCCGGCCCTATCTTGGAATCTTAAATGGAAACGGAAAAGACCAAATAACATACTGCGCTGAGAATTTAAAGTGGACATCAAAAGGACGAAAACCAACTGGAAACAACTAGAAAGAATTGCATAGGACAGAGTTCGATGGAGAATGCTTGTAGGTAGCCTACGATCCTCCACAAGGTGTAACAGGGCGTAAGTTTGTAAGTACGTAAAAGCGTAGAATAGTTAATGACTTGACCAAATCTCACAAAAGTAGGACAGTACAGTGTGAACTGTTATGCACTCTACTTAATCATCAATTCAAATTCATATAATTAATGCATTACATTTTACTATTTAATGACTGGATGGTTTTATAGGGAATATCTCCTTCAGTGTATTCAACTAGTACAACATTCATTTTTTTAATTCTATCAGGAACGTGATCTATTGAAAGAAATACAAACAGATCTTCAAGGACAAGTCGATAAAGCAATTCATTTATTAGTTGAAATGAACAATGCAGCAAAACCATTTTATTCAGATATTCTTAATAAAAATGAAGCTGTACATATTGATATTGATGTTTATAATATGAATGAAACATCATCTTGTATTAGTCATAAACCATTTTGTGAACGTTTACCAGAAAGGTGAGTGAAGAACCCATTACTGATTGACAGATTGCAAAGTACCAATGAAATATATTCGATTTTAGACATGAAAGTCTTTAAAGTATTTATTCAATAGTCATATTTTGATATTAGTACCTTCTTTTGGAGGAATATCTGTTCTTAGTGAAATCCAATTTCTAATAGGTTATTGATTCATTAAATCATTTAATGAGTTGATACAGTTTGATCATCTGGTCATGTTGTTACGTAAATATCTCTAATGGTGTGTTAGTATAATCTCATCGATCACCAAATTACATCACCTATGGCGAATGCAACAGATCCGTCTATCAACTAATGGATAAATATATTGAGCAGACGTTCGTTCTGTTTTACTTTACGGCTGTGAAACGTGGCCATTAAGAGTAGAAGATTTGCGTAAGTTATTAGTATTTGTTCACCGATGCTCTAGAAATATTGCTTGCATCTACTGGGATCACTAGGTATGTAATAGTAAGGTTAGATGCAGGGTATTAAGGAATGGTGGTCGGGCCACGTATTACGCATGCCTGAACACCGATTACCAAGACGCGTAATGCTGACTAGTGTTGGGAATGGTTGGAAGAGAGTTAGGGGCTGTCAAATCAAAACATGGCATTAGTGCTTGAAGTCACTAACTTCTAGTCCTAACCGTGTTAGTAGATGTAGACTACTTGGTTGGGGTCCTCGTGATTATCGTAACCAATGGTTGGAGAATCTGCGTGATCTGACTCCGAATCCATCACAATGGCGTAGATACATACACTTCTTGTCATCTCTTAAACCGTGAGTTATATCTTTCTTTCTACGAACTAATCTTTTCTTCCTGTACTATGTCCTGATATTTAATCTTTCTTTCATATATTACCACCATTGAAGTAACTGCTTCTATGACTTTTGTGTTAAAGTTGCTGTGCTAATGAGATGTGGCAACTTGGATCGATGCATATATATGCTTGGTCCCACGCTGTGGCTGCAATGAAAATGGTTTTAAACACCATTATCTAAGTAGGTACCATTACCAAGGTTTGACTTGATAATTTCGAATAAATTGAACATTGGTTAGATTGCTATAAATAAATTAATATATTTGTAATATCCCAATCAGTAGAAAAATTAAATTTTCTGACGTTTTGTGACTCAGTTTAAGCCACTTCTTCAGAAAATGAGTGGCCAAATCAAAATTCATTCAAGTTTTGGTCATTTATTCTCTGAAAAAATGGCTTACACTGAGTCACAAAACGTCAGAAAATTTGATTTTTTCACTTATTGAGGAATTACAAATATATTAATTAATTTATAAGAATCATTTAAGGTTTTCAAATACTGATCAAGATTCTTGCACTGTCTGAAATCATTCAGTTTTCACCTATCAAATTGATTTTGATTACCTCTAGCTAATCCCGGGCTAAATTAACCAACATTGGATTTCCAAAAGCTGGTGATCAAGTTTACATAAAAGTTGTCCTAGTCACCTTAGTCAATGAAAATTTACACTGTCATTGACTCACTCTCAGCATTAACCCATTGTCTATTCCACGAACGATTCTTTGAAGAAATCTACGATTATACAATTTTAAGTTAAACACGTCCTCTGGATTCAGAGATTGTGCTTGATAATCATGAATTAAAACTAACCGAAGTTTTTCTCATATTGTTCGTAATATATAAATTCAGAGTGTAATTACTCTCACTATCTATTCACAGAATAGGCTGAAGGGATTTTTTGGAAATTGGTTTAATTTCTATGTTACATTCATTACAGATTGATTTTTGTTGAGTACTATTGAAGCAAGCAAGTATCGAGCAACTGTTTCACCCTAATGTGGGACTCCTCAAAAGTGTTCACCAATGACTCCTCAAGAGGTTGAACCCATGGCTTCAGATGTCACACTGAACGACTAACTACTAGAAACTATTGGAGGCATGAACGTGGCAGATTATAACTCTGGGAGAGGTGTCAGTACACACTACTGAGGAGTTACATTCTAGGGTGAAACATCCGTCTACTACTCGCTAGTTTTCAGTAGTAGGCCAACTAAGATCAATCTATGATGAATATTACTAGTGAACTAGTTATAACTTCTTATTGTTACCCCTAATTTTATTCAATTGTTCCATCATAATTCTCAATCATTCATTCAGTTATTCTTGTATTCCTTTCATTTACATAGTTCAATAGATTTACAAACATGGGAGAACATAAGTTATCAAACTATAGAAAATGCTGAAAATGTAATTGGAAAAGCTGATGATTTACTACATCGACTGCATAATAGTCTGCATAAAGCAATCAATAGGATGTCCAGCAAAGCTAGTCAAGTAGATAATGAACTACGTAGACGTATACATGATACTCTTAGAGCATTACGTGAGATTGAATATCAGATTAAAAGTGTAAGTTATGAATCTCATTAGTTGGAATGATTTTCATATATTCACTGTTTTAATTCTCTAAAATTTGGGGGGTGCTTTTAATTTTATTAACTCTTTGGTTTCTTATGATAGAAATACCGGTGCCTATTGATGATTGATATCGGCTGGAGAATTATTAGGAATCTGAGAACATTGGATAATCGTTTCTTGCGATATCGAAATACGTGAACAACACTTATCACACGTTCCCACACGAGAGTGAATCCAGAAACTAAAACTCTCTTTGCCTGTATGATGTCACTTAGTCACTTGTTCGAGGCTGTCAAGCATACTACGACAAAGCTGACCCGTCAAAATTCATTATTAACATGGTTTAAGGATTCGAAATAAATGCGCGGTTTAGTCAAGCTCCATGAGTATCCTAATTATAACATTCTGTAAAACAATTGTTCAGCTAAAACAAGTTTATCAGTGCTGGGAATCCGTTATTTTGCTGATTATCAGTGTGTTTAAATGACATATAAACTGTGATTCCTTTAAACGGTAGCTTTCATTCGGGTTGACTGAATATTAGGGTACTACAAAACAGAGCTAATAGATTTATAATTTACGGGACAAATGTAGAAAAAGCTGTTGGAGTTTCGTCAGCTATATTATTGATTATATGAACCACAAATAGTCAACTACTGTGTTAAACCACTATTTACCCGATGATATTACATTTGATCATTTTCCATTCACAATATTTTAATCTTTTTTAATTTACAACAGTCATTTCAAAGGTGTAATAATTTTTATCAGGGAGTTATCAGGTAGTTTAAGTTAAAACTGTTATATCCCCCGGTGAATTACGAATGGTAACTTTTAGGTCTATTTATGAATCAATGTAATATGCCTATTTCCTATTGTACAATTATTACGTAACTGAACTATTCATATTCGTATTTCGCTTATCATTAACTTTATCTTGACCTTGACTTATCATCATACGATTCTTGAGTTATAATCAGTTTGTTGATTACTTTGGTTTGTATAAAAACCCAGTGTGTTTGTAAATAATGATTCATACCACTGAGGCTGTTATTGGTGTTTTGGACCTAACTGGTTGGGCTAGGCAGATCGCAGGACCGGTTAGCACTCTAGTATGCTCGTACGGTTTCGTGTGTCACTATTCCAATCGATAATTCGCTGCTCCCTGTTTGGCGGTCTTATCGCGTCACACATCAACTAGGCATCCACTCGACCACAAGATATAACAAAAACACTCAAACACTTCAAGTTATACGACAACTATGCTTAAATCTCCATTGAGAACTTTAGTCACAAATCATTAATGACACTATGTGAAATATTTTCGTAAGACTGTTCTAAAGCACTTTCGGTATATGGACTTATTTATTTGTTGAATTATATTCTTAACTTTCTAAGCAAAGATGGATAGTGACTATCAGTGGAATCCAGAACGTGCGTTCCATTCTATTTGGGACTCATCAGCCAGATGTACCTGAATTTCAGTGGTAATGTTTATTCTGGGACTCGAACTCAGTAACGTTCGCTTCAAACGCGTGTTATTTACCTAGGACGAAAAGCGCGTCTTGGATTCCACTGCTGGCCTCTATCAATCTTTGCTTAGAATATTTGTGAATGAAGGCAATATCGAGGCAATGCATACAGTATGCACATATGCCAATCCTAAACATCAATGGAAAGATTCAAGTAAACAATACCATGTGAATTTATATTCCTAACTGTTTTCTTCTTACACTCGTCATCAATATATTTTATCATTGTAGACTGAAAATGAAAGGGATGAACATTTGAAAGACATAAACGGTTTAGAAGATGCTATTCTTGCTAAAAAAGAAAGTTTAAAATTAGCCGAAACACGACTGGAGAAACGTCATGATCGATCGGGGAATGAAAATATTCAAGATGCTCCTCATTTGAGTCTGCTAGGAGAGTTATCAAGTCTACGTAATTGTATTAATATGTTAGAAGAAAAACTTACCAAATCTAGGTATTTTCTTCTTTATGCTTGTCTAATTTTTTCATATTTTTATACTACTTATTGTCATTTGGTTCCAGTAGCATGATATGAAGTTTCAAAAGAAGAAAATATCCCCATTCGCATTTTGAAAACTAACGATTACAACCAGTTGAAACCCACTTGAATTGAAAAGTTTTTTGAATGAAAACGAGGAGACATTTAAAGTTGTTTCAGAAGATTTATTCATTGGATTGAGAGTTCTATGTTGCTTTAAAACATGACAGTATAGTTTCTTTTAGTCTAATTCATTTTGAAATTGAGTGGAGGGTAATTATACAGACAAAATGTACAAGTTCCTCACTGGGATTACATAGATGAAACAAATGCAGTTGTTTGTTACTAGTTGTTTACAGTCGGTATAGACCCATACAGCTGTCTAATTGTTTGTGCCTAAAATATTCATTCGCAATGCTCAATATAGGAACTGAAAAACTTTCAACTTGCCTTAACTTAGGACGTCGTCAGACTCAGCTATTCGTACTAGAGTTTTCAGAAAAACCAAACCAGATCTCAATCTTACGTTGAAAAATATCACAAATGAATATCGCCATATTATTAATCTTGAAAATGATACTGAAATGATCGAACATCCACTCGGCCACTGAGTCCTGATAGCCACTTGCTTGTGCGATGGGGTGAAGTTTAAATTCATTCAGTATTGTTTGTTTGAATCTTCCCATCGATTTGTTAGGACTGCAACTGGTCAGTCTCTAATTGGCATATGTGCACACTGTGAGTATTGCCTCGATATAGCCTTATTTCACAAGCATGTCAAGCAGAGATGGATAGTGGCTAGCAGTGGAATCCAGTTGGACGCGCGTTTCGTCCTATTTGGGACTCGTCAGCTGGATGTACCTGCATCTCAGAGTTAAGGACTATAAAAAATCACGTAGAAAGTAGCATGACCACCTATCAGTTTACAGCTATCTTCATATAAATTGTGTCGATCTCTCATGAAAAGTAATCATCTCAATAGAGTTCGTATTAATTTTAAGGCGTTAAATAGGTTTATGTTCGCGTTATTTCAAATTTTGGTATTTCATAATTTCTCAGAAGGGATATTCTGTGGATATTATGGTAATTCAATTGTTGATTTCATGAGTCAATTGACGCTAGACCACTATGGAAAATCTGTAAACACTGGACGGCCTTTTCGTCCTAGTGTGGGACTGGTCATCAGTGCTCGTCCATGATCCTGCCCCGCAGGATTCGTAATTTTCCCTATCTACTTGGATATTTAAAGATTCTTTGAAATAAAACTATATATCAAGGTTGTTTATCACTTGGGTTCATTAGTTATGAAAGATATCGTGACTTCTTCGTACATATTTATGTTCGGATTATGAATGAAATCTAAAGCGATATAACCATAATCCTGGACTTTTTCAGTTAATTACCTATAACATATCTATACAATCAAGTCTTTACTTAAGTAAAGAAAGAAAGAAGTGAAATATAATATATGAATGATCGGTTATTGTTCATATCAATTAAAGGATTCGTATACTTTAGCAGATTTTATTCATACATGAAATGACTAACTTCCGAATTCATTTTAAACTTTAACACTGATGATGCGATTACTGAAGTTTTACACATATAGTAAAACAAAGTCCTGTTAAATGAAGATGAAATGTAACGTAGTATGTTATACTTACCTACTTATACCTGTTATTCCCAATGGAGCATAGTCTGCCGACCAACATTCTCCAACCCACTCTGTCCTGGGCGAACGTAGTATGTACTGTAGAATATATGTTTTTCTACAATTTAATATATTTCACTTTTCTAACATGTGAGAATAACCAATCTTGATGTATTTCCAATCTATTCAAAACATTTCAGGAGTATCATGAATAATTTATCACAGCAAATTGTTCAACTACAACATGATACTCAACAGAAACGTAATTCTTTACAAATTTATGAAGAAATTCATAATATACGTAAACGTCTTGATTATACTACAAATACAATTAGTCATATGTCATCATGTCCAATGATACCCAATGGTATTAAACGAGAACCAGTCGTATTTTAATAAATGAAAAAGAGAATGTATGAAACTTCAAGAGTCTATCATCTTTTATTTCATAACTTTAAAGCACCAAAAGTTTAATTTCTATTATGATCTCATTAGAGTTACATAATCATTCCATTTTGTTTTACAGTAATTTAATAATATTTTTTCATTTCTATTGTGATCAATGAGCATTGAATGACTCTTTCTGTCTGTGATGAGGATGGATCTTATCTTATTTATCATTATTATTATTATTATTATTATTTACATTTTGTTTGAGAACAAAAGGATCAATCTCACTAAATATGTCTTTCATTCAATATAAATCAAATATACTTGTTAGGTAGAAAAGATTTAAAGCTCAGATAGATGATTTTGATGGAGTTTTGTTCTGTGAGCTGGAGGATTTGGTCGTGGAGCTTTCATTGTTCTTTTGAACGACATCATCAGAGTAAACCATCAAAATCAAATATACCTATCCTGTTCTACTCTTATGTAATAATACACTGTTTTAAGTAGTCAATAATTATAAATACAAATTTGTTTAATATCAACAGATGTTTATCATAATTGTTATATATCAGAAGGGGTTTTGTGGGGAATTTAGTATTTTCATTGTTGAAATCATAACTCAATTGAAGATAGACCACCATCACCAGTTAGTATATGAATGATATTAACTGATTGAACATAGTACAATTAAATGAAAACACCTAAATGTCATTATTTGACGTTATGTTTTGGTGTAGGTAACCCATTTACTATGTATCCTTACAAATATAGTTAAGTGAGAATCAAATGAATGAAAGCAAATAAGTCAGTGTTACAATAACAGTAGTAGTAGTTAATACAGTTCGATCATCTGGTCATGTTGTTACGTACATATCTCTAATGGTGTGTTAGAATTATCTCACCGATTGCCAAATTATATCACCTATGGCGAATGCAAGAGATCCGTCTACCAATTAAGGGATGAATATACTGCTCAGCAGTTCGTTCTTTTTTACTTTACGGTTGCGAAACGTGACCGTTTAGTGTAAGGGATACTCGTAAGTCAGTTGTGTTTGATTACAGATGTCTTAAAAATATTGCTCGCGTCTGCTGGGATCACTGGGTAAGTAATAGTGAGGTTAGACGCAGAGTATAAGGAAATGAGGGTAATCATTTGATAGGGTTATGAATCTCCATCGACTAAGATGATTGGGCCACGTGCTACGTATGCCTGAACATCGATTACCACGGCGCGCAATGCTGACTAGTGTTGGGGATGGAATCAGGCTAATTTGGTTTGTCAATCACCAATTACGATGATCTCATGTATCCTCAGAGAAAAGGGTCAGTGGAATGGAATATGAAGAAATTTCCTTTCAACTAGGTTTTTTGTCTTGTCTCTACATTAACATATAGACATTAAGCAATACTATGGTAACTGTAAATCAAGTAAAGATGTTACACATTAACGTAATTTTGCAAGTGGTTATAAAAATAGTACTGAATGATTGACTAAGTAATTGAAAGAAGACAGATAAGATTATTAAAGTAGTTGCTTTTCAAAACTGGTAACGTGTAGATGAACGGTTATCGTTTTCCATAATTTACAATTAGAGAATCAACAAAACATTTTGATGAAAAGTTAACAATAAAAAGAAAAATAATAACATTATGTGAGAACATAAATGTTACTTACTTAATTACTGATGTCTATTACCCACAATGGAGTGAACGTTGTCTACCAGCATTCTCCAAGCCACTCTGTCCTGGGCTGTCTTATCTAGTTCCATCCAATTGTTGTCTACTTTTCTCATGTTTGTCTCCCTTTCTCAGCGTTATGTGCTCGTTAGTCCAAGTGAGGACTTATCCTTTGATGCAGTTGTTTGCTTTCTTTAATGCATATCCTATCCACTTCCAGCGCTTCTCCCTCATTTCTACCTCCGCTGGTCTCTGGTTCGTACTCTCCCACAGAAGGCTGTTGCTGATACTGTTTGATCATTGGATCAGAAGCATTTTAAGTAGAAAACTGTTGATAAATACTTGTATCTTCTGGATGTTGGCCTCTGTAGTTCTCCAAGTTTCCACCACAAACAGAAGAATTGTCTTGACAAATTCTGACTTTGATGTTGGTGGGCAGTTGTTCTGAGTTCCGCCTGAGGCCTCTCAGAGGCTCCTGCGGGTCTCAAGCGGAAGGAGTTTCATGCACCATAATGAAAACGTTGGAAATGATGGCACAAAGCTTGTCGGTTCATGAAAATTCAGTACAGGTGTCCAGATTAAGAGGCTCAACAACTTAATCACTGATCAACACAATGAGCAAGTTTCGTTTTGATCGCGTTGATGGTGTCACAATTGAATCATAGTTCAATAGGTATGAAGACATTTTCCAAGTTGAGTTTTCTCATCATGGTGACTTTTCAAATGTGGGAATTCTACTTCGTAAGCATGAAGCAGCTGAATATATATATATATATATATATATATATATATATATATATATATATATATATACGAAACGTCTAGGTAGATTCAAAGTGATAACAGCTACAGTAATGAGAAATGTTGTGTGAGAAGTGAATTTTGATTAGTTAAGCACATGAACTAAGAAATTATATTCGAGATTTTTCAAATCTTTTCTGTTACCTACTTAGTTCTTAAAAGTTTCATATCTCTTAGTCGCTATCTGGAAACCATTAGATGCTGAAGTCTGTCTTTATAATCACACTCGTGTAATAATCAAATTCGAATTCCTGCTCTTCCTCAAACATCTAATCAACGAAAGACCATGAACAGTCTGATATTACATAATGATTGATCCGAAGGAGATCGCCTACAACATCAAAATGAAGCTCATTCATTTTTTCGGTTGCCAAAATTAATGGTAGTGAAGTAGCATTTCTGCGTAATAGTTCGTTCCATTGGAATAACAGCATGTCAGAAAATCTATTTGTATGTGTAATGTTAATTGGATTGAAACATTCATCATATTGTTTAAATAATTATAAGGATCCTTGAAACTCCCATTTTATTGGACCAGTTCACTTATATCTTGAATGGACGATGATAACTCGTGTCCAAACTGATTTTGCGTTAAAATGTTTGTTCATTGAAAGAGGTGGATACACATTATGTGGATATATAAACCTATTTTTTTACTTTCATTATTTCAGAGGATTTATTAGCTGTCAGATGGTCTGTCCCAACCTCAGATAATGACAAAGGTAAGCAAAGAATAAAATGGTTGCTTGATCTCATGTGAAATAGTAACACTTACACCATCATTCATTGTAATTATCCACACGTTTTTTCTGTTCACTTTGCTTAATTCAATTCTTCCCCAAAAGCTGTTCAAAGTTAGAAAACAAGGGTAAACACCATTGAATGTTTGAACACATTGATTAGGACTTAGATAAAAGTTGATATAAACTGCAACAGACAAGATTTGATCGATGATGGTTATAAGATCATGGATAAATTAGATCATAGTCTTGTTTCTTTTGTGGATAAACGAATGCAGAGATCCATCATCGTTGACAGACCTAAAAGAAACATGATGATAAACTTGGTTTTAATGGTAAATACATTTGTGTTCGTCAGAAAGCCACTTCTGTATACATCAAATTCATCACCTATTACTCGGTCTTTCATAGATATTATTCTTCCCAGTTAAGAGGTCGCAAAGATAATATGTATTCAACTATTCACTTCACATCTTTAGAAAATATTGTGGTTAGATTCATTTGATCGACTGATATATCAATGCGTTTCATAAACAAGTAACTTATTAATTTTTTTTCTAAACAAACACACCACAACTCATTTAATTTACTCCAAGAGTCGATTGTATAGGATGAAAAACAAAAAAATATCGCGTCGACGTGAATACTACTCCAACTACCATACCTAATTAGAAACTAGATTTGTTGTTTCAAAATAAGAAAGAGGGTGTAAATAAGGGAAACCAAGCATCTGATATTCATTTTAAAAGATGCTTACTTGTTCCATTTACACGACGTTCACTAGATTATAATTATTATGAATTCAACTAAAGAAAACATTTGTGATAACATAGCAAATATCTACCTACGTTTTATTACACAAGATGAGAGAGACGTTACAATAAATGTTCCTGGAGAATGGATCAAAAGTGGTACGTTAGTGGAGTATGAAGTTTCCGGGGGTATGTCAAACCTTTATTCATCAGAGTCGACTATTTACACATTTGATTGCATCGCTTTTGTTTCATAAAATTAAAAATTTTATGCGTATTTTCAGTAAGTCATTAAATGATATCCGGCCATCAGTCTCAACTGGCGTTACACTACTCGTCAATCTGTTGTTGAATATCTTATATGATTAAAGGCACATTTCGAACTACTGCACAATTTTTTACATTGATGAAATATACTTAGACAAAATATCGCGAAGTGATGGATGAGATGCTATCAGTCAGTTAGCTGATTGTGCACTGACTTGCAAGTGTCCATTTTTTTCACTTGGCATATATGATATGGAAGTTACCGAGGTATTGAAACCGCAGAAACACTCCATAAAACTATAATTACCATGGAAAAAACAGCTTAATTTCCAAAATTTCTACTTAATCACACTCATCAGATTAGATGAAGGTATAAACAAGTTACGTGCTCAGACATCAGTTAATCATAGTCAGTAGATATTTTCATAACATGAATGTGTTTCCCTTTTCATTAATATGTACAATGAGTAATCACAATCAATGTGAGTTCACAACATTATTCTCCGCTTTGCATATAAAGAAGCGGTATACAAGTCGTCCTTCAATAACAAAACCGATATCATGGAACAAACTCAACGGTAATCAAAAATCAAATTCAGTACGTTTTGGTGAACCAATAACAGCATAATGTGTACATTTCTGGGTGTTAACAGTCACTGAAATCAACCGAATTCGCCCAGCCAAATACACATAGTTCAACATTCAAAGAAGTTTCATTCGATTTCAACATGTGAATGATTTTGTAGATGTACTAAATTTCGCATTACGCAATGTTACGACAAATTCTCAGTGAATGGAATAGTCACTTAACTCCGAAATCACCATTGTATCATTGAGTTATAGTTACATTTTTTATAATTCATCTGTCTTTTGTTTGTTAACTTGAAATGCGATCACCTTATTCTTTCACTGAAGATTGTCCAAAACACAAATCGATTGAAGTGTGTGAAGACCCAACATCATCGAATACAAAGTGTATGTGGTGTGAAAATGCCAAAATGTGCATTACTAGCAATGATAAGAATACTCATGACTTCGAAGTAAATGGTTGTCAAGTTAAAGTAAGTAACTGATGAACCTTACAGGCTGTTTTCAATATGACCATATTCCACATTGTAAATTTATTTACTCGGAAGAACATTTTACTGCTATGACTAAGCGGTGTTTTGTAGACTTCCCTCAGTGCATAAATCAAAGCGTAATATGCATTGATCATATTTATTCAGATATGAGTATAATACGTTATCTTCATACGGACATTCAACAATGAAAAGTAGCGTTATTTAACATATTATTTTCCATCTC